CACCGCGGATACAGTCAGTCTAACCAAGTCCGCCGGTCCGCGCCACCACGGCTCAATACCACTCATGGCGGCCGCTCTGAGAACTTTCATTTCTCCCGGCTAAAAGGGCCACTCGGCAGGACGTTCCCAGCGGAGCGGGTACCGGAATCGAGCGCCCGGGTATTAGGGAGTTTTAGTAGATCGTTTTCGTGCAGCCGCTCTGCAGAGCGGAGCGCGGAATCGCCACTGCGCCTGCGCGCCGATGGCCTTGGCTGTAGAGTTCCGGGTAGCGGAGGGGCTTAGCGGAGCGGGAAACACGGTCTACTAAAACTCGCTATTTACCGTGGCACCGACACCGTTACCGTAGCTCACACCAACTACGCATGCGCTCGTTGAGACCCTCGTGCACAGCCGGTACCGGGGAGCTGCTACAACGGCGACGGTATTCTGAAGCGTTCCATTGGGGACTGTTAACAAACCGTTACCGCGTTCCGTGTACCGCACTACCGGAGCCTTTGAAGCTGCAGGTTTTAGGCGCGCGCACGGGTGATACCGTGACCGCGGGGCGCGCGCATAAAAGCTTCAAAGGCTCCGGTGGTGCTGTACGCGAAACACGGTAACGGTTGGCACAAGACCCTACTGGAGTGTTTTAGGAAACCGTTTTTGCACATCCGACACGGTACGAACTGCGGATGTGCGAGTCTTCTGTGTTAGCGCATGCGCAGTTCGTACCGGAGGGTCTATCGTATACCGTATAGGAGGTCCGAAAACGGTTCCCTAAACGCTCTAAATTCATGAAGAATACACCGTAAAATTATCACTGCCTGCACGAGCTTGGCAACTCCGGGTAAAAAAAAAACTTTCAGCCTTTCCACTCTGGTGAAGACGGAAGACCAGCGAAGCTGTACTATGGTGGGAATGAAGTAACGGCCGGCCGCAAGTAGGCAAGCCAGAGTGGAAAGGCTGGAAAGGTTGCCGCCGTCGCTCATAGATGGCGGTAGCTGTCCAGAGTTCTGTGTCATCAGGTGACTTGAGGACGGACACGAGCCTGCGGAAGCTAGCCCTTAAAGGGACACTGACAGAGGATTTATGCTCGCCAAGGTTTTTATTTGTACATTACATATGAGAGCCCAACTACTCAGAAAACAATCGCGGCTCGGAATTCGTTTTCTTTTTGTCCAAAAACACCCAATCAAAAATTGGCCGATTTGAGTCGCGCTCACTCTCTCCTTCGTGCCCATGTGCCGTTTTTTCATGGTTTAGACATAACCACCAAATATAATGAAAGTCGTAGGTCATCGAAGGCACGCACACACTATTAAAAATAGAAAAGAAATGTGATACCTATTTTTTGTGGCTTCTAGAAAGGTGCAAATGCGTTGTTTAGGGGAAAAAAAAGAATTATCACATCCACGTGACTTCCGCCACCTCTCTTTATATTTCTTCTTCCTCCCCAGTCCAGTTTAAGTTTCGGTTTCCAGCTGTTGCGTTTTTTTTTTTTTTTACTTTATTAAAAATATACGAGACGCTGTAACAAAATATTGATTGGTTAGTCTTCCGACATCATAATAAATCGCCTGGCAAAAAAAAAAAAAAAGATTTTGGGAGGTGCCAGTGTCCCTTTAACAACTCCGCTGTAAAAAAAAAAAAAAAAAAAAGCGGCTTAACGTTTTTGGTTTAGCCTCTGTGCAGTAAGACCCATTGCTAATGCTAAATAACCCAAGCATCAAGGAGAATGCAGGGATCGGTGTTCCACGTGCCGCACGTGCTGGCCTCAGCAGTAGTAACTTTTCTAAAGCAAAAGCCTAAAACAAATTGCATCTTGCACACGCGTTTGTCAACGCTTTATTTGGGAATTATTTACTTCGAACCTTTTATACGGGGAAGGCGTGCGCGTGTGGCGCGTGGAACACCATTCCCTGCATTCTCCTTGATGCTTGGGTAATTTAGCAATACGTCTATTTAGTGGTTTTCGTCCGTTTTTTTTTTCTTTCTTTCTTTCTCCTAATAGCGTACGTGTTTCATTTCCTGCACGCGGGCATTTCGGTTGCTATATTTTATGGTCGCTATTGATACTCAGTGCGCAGGAGGCGCTTTCTGATTGAAGTGTTCTTCTCTTCCGCGTGCCTGGCCTGCTTTCGAAGCGATGGGTCGTCAAGAAAGAGTCGCCGAGTTTTCGTGCAAATAAAGAACGGGGAAGAAAAAGAAGCCAGCGACCTCGATGCGAGAACGCCGCATCGTTCGCACACCCGGAAGTAGACTTTATTCTCAAAAGAGTTTTCACAAAAGCTTTTTTTTTCTTTGTTTGCCGGTTTGTGAATGTCGAGCGACGACGCATGAATATGTCAACGCCGGGGATAGATCGCATATCTTTTGGTGCTCACAGAATACATACGCCCTTTGTAGATAATAATAATATAATAATCGTAAAAGCAGTCTCTTCGCGTTACAGGTATACAATGTCAACTGGACGCGGAAATTAAACTAGGGGAATTAAACGCAAAACGTCGGGCTACTTGAATAGATTTTCAGAACGTCGGTCTTCTGTGAGATGAGATTTCCAACGACAGTCTCAACCGGAAAACGAAGCTATTCACAGCGCGCGTCCCTGCGGTTTCGAGAGTGTGCGTCAGTGTTGCCCGACTGCGCTAGGCTGTGGGTTTTCTCATCAGTCGAATGTGGCACGTCTGCGTATAGGCGCTATTCCGGGTAAACACTGGTGGCGGCTAAATTTCTGCGTTTGTTTCTTTTGTGTTTTATTGCGAATAGAATTTCTCAAGAAAGCACTGTACCATTTTTGGGAAGAAAAACCAACCAATGAAAGCCATTCTTGGAGTGTCCATACGCGACAGAACACAAATAAGCTTCTAGAATGTTTGCCTCATTTTATGCAAATTTGTCACGACGCCCTACACTCAGCCGCGTCAATCTACAAAGGTATTAACGGTCGAAAATATTTGACCGCACACGATAGCCGAAAGGCGTGGGTACTCTCTGCTTACAATATGAGAAGAGGTCTCATCAATCGACTAACATACTGTAAGTGCGTACCTCGCGGTGGCTCACTATCCGAACTTATTTGAGAAGTTACACGTACAGCACGTCCAGTCTACAATGTCGACCACAGCTACTTCACGGGAATGGGACGAAATCCCTACTTGTTCTAGGGCACGTTTTGAGACTGTATTTTGCATAGCACTGAAGCCAAGGAACGGGCGTGTCTGTTCCGTTCCCTACCCCGCAACGATCAGCTATTTTTTTGCGAAGACCGCGATGCTTTTCATGAGGTTATCCCAGAGGAGATAATCCTCGAAGATCGTCGAACGGCCCGAGTCACGAGCCAGTCGACGTTCTGTTTTGTTTTTTTCGTTGGTTTCGCACGAATGCCGAGCAGGCTACAAGCCCTGGTAATTCCCTGGTTTTCACAATGAAAGATACCACAAAACGGGATAAGCACTCTGGATAGGCAAATAAAGTTGAAATCTTTCAAGAGAGGCCAGCGAAATCCGAATACAACACTGGTAAACAGTCGCGCTGGTTGGGTTTCCACAAGTAGCGATGGATTAAAAACTTGTTGCCCTCTGCATTATTTTACGTGGGTTATGAATCCCAGCACTAGTATATGATGGTTCAATAGATGCGGCGGTTCGAGCAAAAAAAGAATTCGAATAGCATCGACGGCGATTTTGATATACAACTGATGCTATTATGATGTACTATTGATAATTTTGAGTTACCTGGTATGCGGCTAAAAAAAGTGTTTGAATCATCTATTGGTGCATGTAACGAATTTTTACGATCAAATCTATGGATACCTAGCTAAAATATGTGGCCGGGCCAACTATAGATAACTTACAGATTACGTTACAGCAATGTTCTTTTTGTTTTTCAGACTGAAAATTTCTAGACACTTTAACATTTCTTACAATCACTGGTTTCTTTCTAGATAGAAAACAGCTGCGCGCCTACAGGTAAAGACATAATAGACATGGAGTACGAGATGTAAGCACTTAAAGTTGTTTTGTGGTGTGATCATCACCGAGGCAGAATAGTAAACAAATTTGTGGAACAAACCCGGCTTCACTTCTCCAAGAGACGTTTTCAGGGACTCTCGTAACTCGCGGTTGAAGCTTTAAGGGGGTGGTGTAACGAGTTTCATGTTTCCGGTAAACACCGCTATATATATTAAATCTTGATGGTCATCATCTGCACAACACACGTTGCTTTCTCTCCACACAACGGCCGTCGCGAAAACGAATTCCAAAAAGACAAGCAGCGTTGACCCCTTCCACCCAAAGACAGAACCAGCGGTCACGTGATCTGGGGCCGATTATACGCCGCCAAAGTTCCTCAAGCCAAATGCTCCGGTGTTGGAAAAGCACGGGGAAAGCGCCGAGTTCCGGGCAATGCCGATTGTATATACGAACCACTACCCGAGTGCTCTTCGAGGCGTTGATTGTCACGAGTCCCGAATCGAGTGCTCACACAGAGCTTGAGTCCAATCTATGCGCCTAGCTCTGATAGAAGGATAGTGGGTAGACCGCAAAGCAAGCTCCCTTGAGGTCTACCCACTATCCTTCAATCAGAACCAGTAAGAGCTTGGCGTTCGGACGTCACCAGAACCCCCGCAAAAGAAGCAGACGAAGTTGCGCCCCGTAGAACTTGCATTCGACTATCGTCAGCATGGGATAATCAAGCCTGAGTTAGCACTGCAATCCCCGTGACTACGTCCTCAAGTTTTGCGAAGGAGAGACTGAAAGGGGAAGTCCGCTTTTGTTTTTGAAATAAGAAGCGTCTTTGTCAGTGGCGTTGCGTGCGAGTGCCAATAAGTTTAGGAAGAGTGATAGATCGACCCCTCGAGTGCCGGACAGTTCGCTTTCACAATAAAGTTTTTTTTTTTTTTTTTCTCTGTTGCGTCTATTCAACTTGATCACTGCACGATAGAAAGTTATAGATTTTGCTCCGTACATGTCGGCATATCGGAGCTCCCGATTAACTCAACTGTTGCATTCTGTCCCCAGGATCAAGACCAAGACCGTGACCTGTACAGAAATCAACCGCAGGCAGCAGCACGTCGCCATCGGCGGGCGGCGGAGGCAGCAGTTGTGAAGTGGCAGCTGGAACTGTTATCTCGTGACCGAAAAAAAAAAAAGTCATCCAGGCTACATTGGCAAAACACATTCCAACAGTGCCCGCTTACGGCAAATCCACAAAGGGTGGAAGAGGGCTCGAACATTTTTGTGTCACAGGGTTCTCGTGTATACCGTAAAATCTCGAATGAACGCCCACCCCCAGAAAAAAAAGGTAACAAAAAAAATATATATATATATATATTATATATATCTTTTTACCTGCTATCGTGGCAAGGGGAGTGGTAACACAAAATGTGATGCAGCGCCGCCGTTTCTGGCGCCCCAGCAACTCCGGTACCAGAACTTTGAGAACGAGACATATCGGAACAGAGATGGAAGAGTCGCGTCGCTCTGCGGCTTCCTCGTGAACGACCCTATTCAGAAAGCGCCGCGAAGTGGGCGAAAAAAGCAAAAACTTTTAGCCTTTCCACTTAGGTGAAGGAAGAGTTCAGCGAAGCTGTACTACGGTGGGCCCGCAAGTCGGCAAGCCGGAGTGTAAAGGCTCGAAAGGTTGCGCCATCTATGAGCGACGGCGGCAAGCGGACAACCGGCAAACACAACACTCTGAGCAGCTATACCGCCATCTATGAGCGACGGCGGCAACCAGAGTTTTGTGTCGACATTTCTTTGCGGGGGACACGATGCGGGGGACACGATCCTGGGGAAACTAGCCCTTAACAGCTCTGCTGTAGTAAGAGAGCGTATGGTCGACACAAAAAGTGAAAGCTCGGAGTTCGCTTAGCGCGTGCTGCGACTAGAGCGCGTCGCTGGCGGCGCTGTGTTTGATCACGTGACATGATACGCGGAATAAACTCGGAACTACTCGAGCAAGACGTTCGGCTGGCGCTACTTGAGCGTTCGGTTGGCACTCGCGGTTTCCGTTTCAGAAGTGTGTAACCGAAAACGGTTAGGAGTTAGATGTATAGCTAATTCAGCGTTAAAATATGAGGTGGTTGATCGTTCGGGATTTTAGGGTATTTTTAACCTTACCCAGGAATAGGAATGATCTGACTTTTGGTCACTACCATCTCAACTCGCCGACTCAAGTACCACAGCCGGGGGACACAGTATGCAAAGGAGACAGGTGCGCCAAACACTTCAATGAATGCACTATCCCCGTCTGTGGCTATATGGAATCTTCGCTTTCCCGTGACACTACTCAACTTTCCAATGGTCCGCGACTATCTCTTTCCATGGTCCATCCATGATCCCAGCAGCCACCGTGTCCGAGCGGGTCTTTCATATTGGTGGAGACTGTACCTCGCAGAAACACGTTCCAATGTTGCAACTGGAAGCGGACGGATTGACAGACTTCGATGGCCGGAAGACGTAAGACTGTGAACGAAGACGCCCCGAAGCCGAAGCCACAGCAATGCCCTTTCCCGTTCTTACCCGCTCGTAAATATCTCGCAACATTTTTTTTTTACATTGCGTATCGTCGGTTTGAAGTGCGGTGTTTTCGCTTTCTGGCGATGAGTCAGCAAATCTCTTCTGACGCGCCATCAGGCCGCACCTTAGCGCCGTGAGCAGTCAATCAAACTTTGAGCACCCATTGCCATTTCACGATCGCTACTCGGCTGGCGGGTCACGGACTTCCAGCAGACAGGCTTTCGCTTCGATGGCGCGGCAGGGAAGTATCCAGTGACAACGTGCATAAACGACGGTATTCAGACACACGCACGTCTTCTGTGGGGCGATGACGTCAGACGTTCATCCCTCTCATTGTGCCTTTTTACCTAGTGGGCTGTGCAGCGCGTTCTGAACTCGCGCAATAGCTCTTTTTCACGAAATATGGAGACGCTGTTGCGTCCACAGCCGTGACTGGGCATTTCTTTCGCGTGGGTGATAAGAGCTGGAAAAATCTATAAAAGCAAGAGCTGCTTTATTTTTTTTTTTTTTTTAAATCTTGTTTTGTACTTTAGAGGCTTTGTTACCGCGCGTAGACAAGCACTGACAGGCGCTTGTAAACAATCGCGGCTCAAGCATGATGTATCCAAACACAAGTTTTAGGCAGAGGCAAAGGGTTTTCAGGTTTATTTGACGCCGTGCATTTCCTCCCCTTCAGCGTCTACATGTACCAACGGTCCGTGCCACGGGGTTCGACTTCGAGAAGTACAAAAGCGCACGTACACACATCTCGTCGGCAGTCACAATTCGCACTGGGGTCTCGTGTGTGTGTAAATAAACGCGGCAGACAGAATGTCTACCCGAGTCCACCTCATTCTTCGCGAGTGTTCTTCCAGACAAGACATGGCTGCCGGTGTCCACGAGACGTCGCGAAAAAAGTGAAGCCCAAACAAGAACCCAAAGTGTGAGCATACACATGCACGGACACGGTCAAAACAAAATAGAACGCACGCCCCTTTCCTCGTTTCGCTCGCTGGCGTCCACATTCCGTTTCGCCTGGCCACCGGCCGCAGCCGCCTTTACGGGCCATCCCAGTGCTGTCAACGTACCACGTGACTATACGCCTTGCGCACGTCTGTAGGTCACGTGACACATGGCATTTAATCGGCTACGATGGCTCGTAGCGTCCACCACAGTTCATCGTAAGGCGAAACGGAGTATAGACGTACACCTGCAACCACGCCCTCCCACGGGTACATTCCACACTTATGGGCACAATTGACGTCGAGGCATGCACCAGACAGGTAGTCGTGCATTCTAGTTTATTCCGTCCACCACTGACGTTATTTTTTTTAGTTGACTTGAGAGGGCGCAGCTGCGACATGGTAATCTTTATATTAGTAAGGAGAAGGTTCAAATACCTAGCTACGGTCACCGACATCTTCGGAACGGAAAGCGAGCTGGAAAGAGGAAAGCCTCTGTTCTGTCTCCAGAACGAATCTCCCTCCCTGCTTGTATTAGCGTCGCGACCGCCGGTGCAGGTTCAAAAGTCGCGCGGACCGTTCAAACATCCTAGCAAACAGTAAGTTCAGAACTGGAGCCGAGACTAACCAATAATTCCTTATCGTTCTAAAGAAGTCGGTGACCATTCTAGAGTTGAAAAGCAAATCTGAACATCAGGACCCCCATCCTCTCCCGATGGAGTGAAAGAAACCAACGACTTCAAGAACAGCTGGTGGCCTAGTGCTGACTGTTACGGGCCGGTGCCCACAGCCTCGGCCCAGCCTTGAGGAGTAAACGGTAAACTAAGTTTTATGAGGATCCAATCCGATGTCACCTCAAAAGCAACGTCAGCACGACGAGTAAAGTACGACAGTCTGCAAGGCGCCCAGAGCACACACACAAAAAAAAGCGAGGATCAATCCACCGAAGCCCGAGATTGCCCTTCTCCACTGGCCGGCCGAGGACCCGTGCCCACGTCACCGAAGTACGACCCCAGGTCCACGGGCAGTCTTGAGGATGCGCCGTCTCAAGACGGGCCCGGCCTTCGTTGCGCCGGTGGCTGATAGTACTGCTGCTGGGGCCGACCATTGCCAAACCCCGGTTGTTGCTTATGATGCTGGGCAGGCCGTCCCCTGTACCCATGGTCGTAATTCTCGGCGGATCGTTGATGATGCTGCTGCTGCTGATGGTGGTGGTGGTACGCCTGCTGATGCTGGTGCTGGGGCGGTGGCTGGTGCGTCGCGCCCGACGACTGACCCAGCATCATGGCTTCGAGGTAGCGATAGTCTTCGGAATCCTTGTTGCTGCTGAACTGGCCTTGTGTCTGCGGATGGCCTCCTTGATGGCGGTGGTGGTCTGTCCGCGACGAGCTCATCTGGCCCTTATCCTGTCCAGGAAAAAAAAGGACATTACTGTCGGGGCGGGTGCCTCGTAAACACGTACCTCTCCCCTTGATAATATGTTCATCACAATTGCTCCCCGACACTTCGCGAGTTTTAAGCTCTATATAATAGTCTGTTTCAACGTAAGAAAAGCTCCTCCCAGAAAGCCCTCCACTCTTTTCATTTTAGCGGAGCAAAAGCAGGAGAAAAGGAAACAATCAAGGCAAGCTTTGTTGAAGGGGCTGACCTGCTATCCTCAACCTGCAACAAACTATAGCTTCACTACACTGTAGCCTCACTACAGGTACCGACAGGATGAGAACAACAAGGCGTCTCTTGCAGATGCCCTGCCTCCACACGCGATGGTTGCCTTCCGCCGTGCTTTGGTCGCGTGTGCACGCTCGAGGCTGTCGAGATGCCGAAGCGTTAAAAAAGGCAGTAAGCTCGCGCTGGAGGCGGGACAACTTTTGCCGTTCTCATACAATCGAAACAACCAGGCACGAAAACCAAGCTCGAGAGAACCGGAGAAAAACAGAAGCAAGACAAAGACGGGGGGAAATTATGATATCATTTAAAGGGACGCCGAACCAAACATTTCAGTGTTTATAATAAGTGGCGCATGATCTTTCCACGATCCAGCAGGCGCCGGTGTGCGCGAGCACACGCAACGAAATTGACGTTATATCCCATCAACGGATGAATGGGCGTGAATGGGGGATATGATGACGTCAATTGCTGGAATCAAAATTTATAACTGAGGTAAGTACCACTACTATTGTGGTTTTGATGACAGTCCTTCGATACAAAGAGAAAAACAAAGAAAGCCTGCGATGGTTTGCTCGCGCTAACAGCGTCGCGGAGTGCACGTACTTCGTTTGTATCAGGGGTTGAGGTATTGCCACGTCTTTCATAAAGCTAAGGCCGGTGAAAAAAAAAAAGTAAAAGTATATGGCCGCGAGTCATTAAAGAAGTTATGAAACGATTTTTCTGCTTTCACTAAATACCTACTTGGAATCACTCCCTAACAAAATAACTGAATAAACTTGCCTTAGTTTTTGTTACTAGGAATGACAGTCGCCAAAAAAATTCCGAGAAATATGAGCATCGTTCATCCACTCAACTGGGAGCCAGAACAAGCGGTCACGTGGCGTGGCACGCGCTGGGGTTGGCAAAGTAGAAAACACGTTCCGAGCTCCAGGCATTTTTAGAGTTTGGTTATGATTTTTCTACTTTCGCTAAATGCTACTTGGAATCACTCCCTAACAAAATAACTGAATAAACTTGCCTCAGTTTTTCTTAATGGGGATGCCAGTCGCCAAAATAAATTCGAGAAATATGAGCATGGTTCATCCTCTCAACTCGGAGCCAGAAATAAGCGGTCACGTGGCCTGGCACGCAATGGGGTTGTCAAAGTAGAAAACACAAGCCGGGCTCCAGGCATTGTTAGAGTTTGGTTATTCTCATCACCGCAGTGGTTGGACAAGAGTCACTACCCGAGAGTGCGCCGAGACATTGATAGTCACAAGCCGAAGTCGAGTGCTCACGCAATCCTCGCGCACAATCCATGAGCCGCGCTCGACTGTCGTCAGGCCGGTGGCTTTGATCCCACAATTACGGCATGAAGCTTTGCGAACGAAGACTGAAAGAAATAGTCCCCTTTTATCCTCGCAATTTCACCGCGACAAAAAAGCTTCTGAATCAGAGGCGGTCCCCGTGCGAGTATACTTGGGCCAGACTAAGACCAGTACGCCTCTGTAAAGTCATGAACATTCCGACTCGATATCGTTTCATGACCCCTTTAAGCATCGTAGCTACTGACAAGGTGCCCATCTTCTCCTTTCCTTGTGGTTCAATAAACGATTTGACGAACTGACTGCACGACTTACCCATTGGCCGGGTGCCACCGTCTGCACGTCCGAACAAAGCACCTCCTCGTGGTTCCCGTAGTCGACGAACTTCACCACGCAGGTGTTGCCGTTGGAGGACACCTCGTGCACCACCGCCCTGTAGAACTGGAGACATAAACATTGTGTGAAATATTACGCTGCAATACCGAAACTAAACATTACGCGCCCAGTGGCAGGAAGCAGACCCTACTGGAACCAACGGGAACGGATTGGATCCACCCGTACCCGTGCGGATCCAGTGCCATGCGTCTCACTGGAACCGACTGGTTACACCCAGACCCGCATGGTACCAGAACGGATCCGCGCGGATCCGACAGAACGCAACGTAAGCTTAGAATGGCAACATTTGGTATACTCAGTACAAAACGGGCGCGATACGCGACAGAAACCCGAGGGAGAGGAGAAGATGAGAACGTGCGACGGCATGAGAGCGCCGATCTCTTGATTGGAAGGAATAGTGGGTAGACGGAAAGGCTAGCTCGAACGCGCGCTCGGATGCCGAACGCAGGTATCCGGCGTTTGAACGCGAGACGCTGCGCGAGGAGCAGACGATTGGTCACTCTGATTGGAGGGTGGAGAGAAAGGTAGCCATGCAGCGTCCGCGTCTACCCCCCATCCTTCCAATCAGAGTTCGGAGCTCCGAAGTCGCCGCACTCTCTTCATCTCCTCTCCTTCAGTTTCCAGCCGTATTGGAGATCGGTATAACTCGAAAGAGAGATTTTCCTGAGCTTCGGATACTCAGGATGCTCAGGAGATGTCGTTTTGTTCTGTCGAAGGCTATTTTCATTTTCTTTTCTTGTTTAAGATTTACGGAGGACGGATAACTGTTTCCTTCGATTTCAGGTATAGTGTGTCACAGAATTCGACTATTTTTTTCTCTTTTTTCTGGAGTTTTCGCGAGGGAGCGCATCCTGTCGTCGGTCGTCCCTTGCCCCGCGGGTTGAGCGGGAGAGCTATAGGGCCATCGGCTGGTGCTGTTTCGCGGCCCATGCTAATTGGGAACCGCGGGTTGGGTCCTCTCGAGGAGGGTGCGGCGATATTTTTTGTCCCCGACTCGGGAGGTTTTTTTTTGTTGTTGTAGTCTTGTTGAGGAAAAAGAGGGGAAAGGGAGGACCTCGGCTTGGTTCCGAGCCGAGTCAAAACACTGTATGCCGAAACTGGACCGGTGGGCGGACGCGACGCGAAAGTTGGGAGCGACAGCGGGTGCGGGGGAAGGCGGAACGCGGGAAGACCTCGGCGCGGCTCTGCGGGCCCCCAAGTGTGTGTGCTCGTGGATGAGTGTGGTGCCGAGGAACATTCCACGGAGCATTCAAGCACGCACAGACTTTCCCGTTCCGACCAGCGTCGCACGGGGCCCGCGTCACCCACACCACCCTCCGGACCCAGGTACGCTTCACTCACACTTGTAGAATTGTATGCCATATAGAGCTATTATTGTGCTATACTTTTTTTTTTGTTTGTTTGTTCGTGCCTAGTGTCCAGTGTGAACAACGCCGTTAAACCATTGCTGCGCCGGTTATTTCTTTTATATGTGAGTAGCGCCTGCGCGCTAAGGAAAGCATTGTTTTCTTTTTCCTTGAACTTCATTGTGTGTAAATGCGCCGCGCGCGAAAGGAAAGGGTAAGAGTTGGTTTGCGTTTATTTCTTTTTTTTTTTTTGTTGCGTTTGGTGTAGGCGTTCCAGTTTGAACGTGATTCGAGCAAATCGTTCATTATTTAAACGCAACGTCTCCGTCTCGTTCCTCGCCCTTCACAGTGAGTCCGTCCACCAGGACGTGGACATATCGTCCGGACAGCGGTCCTAACAAAATAATAAATTTTGTTTGCATGGGGATCTTTTAATTTTCCGAATCCGTGACGTAGAGCTTCAGATAACTGGCGACAATGATTTTAAGTACCAAGATCTAGGCTAGGTGGCGCGAGCTACCGCCCGTCATGAAGGGTGCAGTCGCTTAGCATCCATCCATCCACGCGAATGACTGAAGTGTCTTTAGCTTGAAGCATAGCTCATTTCGTGGCTCTAACGCCATGCACTTATATACAAGGGTATACAACTATAGGAAATTTATCTGCAGTCAGAAAATGTCACTTTATTATTTTTTTATTTTTTTGTTAGAAGAGCTAAGGTAAGGTAGAAGACACGGTACTACGTCTTTATAGCAGAACGAATCGCACCGCTCCTCCCCCACCCCTAATCCAAGCCCGTGAGCATCCTCTTCTACCACCACGTGACATCATCGCATTCGGATGGCGCCAACGGAGCAAGTGGGCCGAGCATCCTTCGACGCATTCACCGAACACGAGGCCCAGCGGGACGCTCATCCAGCACTCGTGTTCAGGCAGTGTCCGCGCTCGATCTGACTGCGATGACGTCGAAGCGTCAACGCACGGGCTTTGACTATTCTATACTCGTATTCATCTCAAAAAGCCGTAATTAAAAAAAAAAAAGATAAAAGGCCCGCCTCTTCTTTTAGTGCGTTACTAATTTTCTTTCTTATGAGTTAGATTAAGACATATGTAAGCGCATCTTAGATTAAGTTTAATTTATTTTGTCTAGACGTCCACGTTTCAAACATCGAAAGCGCTTCCTTCGACAACCAAAGCTTGTAAAAACTATAAGTAAAATGCCTTTTTTTTTCCCTTCGTGTGGCAACGAGTATACATGCTGTTGGTGTAACCCGTAAGAAGCATACCAGAAACGTAAAGGACCGAAATAACAAAAAAATATAGTTCTAGACTCGGTTTTTTTTTTCTTTTTCTTTTACGAAAAAAACAAAACAAAACAAAGAAAAAAAAAAAAAAAAAAAACGCGAGAACGAAGCAATCTTCCTTGCTCCTCCCCTCCAGGGATTAATATCGGTATCCCAGCTCATGTTGTGGCTGCTGGAAGTCGGCAAGAACTTGCTTCCCTTATCTAGATGTTTCGATCAGTGGTACAACTGAACTGTATTGGAACAGTCGTATGGATGTGTGTGTGTGTGTGTTTTGTCAGTGTTTCCACGTGTTGTGTAATTTCCGCTCCTATTCTGGTCCCCTATCTTGGTCATACGCATAGACCGATAGTATTTCATATTAAGAAATAAAATAGTCAAAGCAGACAAAGCAGGATGGTATTAATGTTGTTTGCAAGCCCCTTTAAGAAATCCGCATTATTTTATTTATTTATTTTTTACACGAGTTAGGTTGAAACGGGCAAGCAATCTCTACTTGGGGCCCCGGTCAGATATGTATGAAATTTTCCCCAAGAGTCTTCTTAAACACCCTCATTGGTGATAATGGAAGGAACTATAGACTAATGAAGGCAAGGATTAAATCCAACGGCATTAGAAATTCGTTCGTCACTGTGTTGGAGCTTAAATTAATCCGAGAATGGACAGTTGGGCTAGTCGGTAAGCGTTCACGGTGAAAAAGGCCACAGAGAAGAGAAATGCATACAGGACAAGGCGCTCTAACTTAAAGTCATCTTGCCGCGTAAGAAAGCAAGCCGCACTTTTGTCGATTTCGAAGCACTGATGCACAGAAACGCGAAAAACGCACAAACACACACATAACAAAAGACCGCGCGCAAGAGAGGGAGAAAAAAGAAAGAAAGAGATCGAAGGGTATACATTATGCTGGTATCGCGCAACATCTGGGCGAAGCTTGAGATCCATTGAGAGCCGAAGAATCGTTTATTTTTTTCGCAAGACTTCTCCGATTCTTTGTGGTTTGTGAACAACTCACGAAAGTTACATCGTTCAAAACAACGCACTCTTTAAACAGGAAAGCGCACGCCCCGTAAGAAAAAAAAAAGTGTTCATAATACAACAACGACAAAACGTTCCATTGTCTTCCAGCGGCGACTCGCTAAGCCTAATGAGGAGGAACTTCACGGAGCCGTGGCGCGTTCCCGGTTCGACGTTCCGAATCTCCGCAGCGAAGCGTCACGATCTTCCTTGAGCCCGATTCGTCTTCGCTTAAGCAACAGCAACAAAACACTACCCAACGTGCACGAGCGAGGATATACTCAAAACTCGCGACCTTGAACGATACCTTGTTTCCGCTACCTACCTGTTTACGTGTAGCCACGGTCAATAAAGAGCGCATATATTTTTTTTTTTTTTTATTTCCTAGAAGTATGCTATGTTGAAATCATCAATGGGGATAAGTCATCACCTTCTATACAAATGAGGCCTTAGTGGTGGTGAGTTTGCTTCGTCGCCATTCGGAAGCCAGTGGGAGGCACTGCCGTATACGGAAGGGCGTTCCAAAGCACCACGTTTCTATAGAACGCGTTTCGACATTTAGGCTTTCCATGATCGGAGCCATCTACTTAAAGGGATGAGGGGAAAATGTGCAAGAGATAGTCGAAACAAAAAAATAATTGGAACAAATGTGATCTGACGACTCGACACGTATAGTTCAATCTGGATACTTTTTTCACTCGATCACTTTATTTCATCTACGGATTATGCGGCACAATATTTCACCAAAATACGCAAACGTAACTTAACGTAAACAACATGGTCCAATCTTAGAAACGTAGCGGGAACGCGTTTCTTTCGAACCACAAGAACTCGTAAACAGGAACTCGTTCCAAGATCGAGAGGGAACAAGAAACGAGCTTTCGTTCCTGTTTTAGAGGAACGTGTATACAACACTAGGTGGAGCAAGCTACCGCCCGTTACGAAGGGAATAGCCAGTAACATCCATTCATTCATCCATCCATCCAACACATCAGACTCCGAGTGCTGCGTCATCGGCGTTCGATTACGACTCGTGCTTGGTCAATGGGAACTCGAACCTCTGCCGAAAAGTTGGGTTGTGTATATGTTTATACAGCCTAAAACTTGGTCTGCCTCGACGGGCGACGAGCCTCCCAACTATAGATGAGCAATTCAGCCAGTGCAGTACAACCGCTAGCCTGGGGTCTTTAACGTGCATCACGCAGTAGAGGTGCACGACCGCACGCCGGTGCGATGCCCATCCAGATCGAAACGGGAGGGGGTGGGGATTGAACCCAGGATCTTGAATTCGAACCTCTGCCGAAAAGCCAACCACGGTTTAATAATACACAGGGTGTTCCTTCTTTCTATTTTTTTTAAAAATTAATATATTTCTTTAAAA